AGTAGCAATTGTAATAATTGTTAGGCCATCAGGACAGTAATTCTAAAACTCACAGTGGGACAAATCTTTTCATGTATTATTCACCTGATTTCAGACCAGCCCTGGGAGGTAAGTAGCCAAGATATTGCTATTTACAAAGCAGGAAACTGAGACTTAGCAAGGTGTGACCCAGGAAGTGAATGGCAGAGCTGGGCCTGAAACTCAAGTTCCCTGACTCCCGGCCCAGGCTCCTGACCCCACAATGTCTCCTTTCTGGAGACATCCTGATGCTCCTGGCTGGGGACCTGGCATAGTCAAGGCGGTGACCACTGCCATCTTTTGCACTCGTGGTACCTTCTTTGTCTTGGGCTTGAGGAGACTGTCTGGCTTCCTGCCCCTCCCCATCCTGTCCCTGTGCTTTCTCCTTGTGTCCCCCACCACACAGTTGGCACATAGACACATACGCATATATTCAGAACTGCAGGTGTCTAGGGCAACAGACCACAGGGGAAACCACATCACCTTTGTTGACTCTGTAGGGAGGTGGGGGTCTGGGGAAGGGACCAGCTTAGTTCCCTTCACCTGCCCCAGTCCCTGCGGCCATCGAGTCTCCCAACCTGAGCTCCTGGTGTTGTAGCCACGCTGCAGCCTCTTCTCGGTCTAGCCATCCAACACTGGCCCAGAGGATTTGGCACCTCTTCCCTCAGACCCTGAAATCCTAGATAGGGGTCTGCCTGCCTGTACCCCAAAGCCACACCCCCCAACCCTACCCAGAATACGGAATACATATACAGCTCCTCTGATTGTGCCTGTGCAGGGCAACAGAAAAAGGTGGGAAACAAGGACGAACCCCCGTGGCTGGGGTCAGAAACTTGGCGTCATATATCAAGAAAGGAGGCTACACTGGAACAGGAGACCCCGGCAAGGGCTTCTTCATTGTTTTGATCTGCTAGGAAATTGCACAGGCTCTGAATCAGACGTACGTGGGATTAAGTAACTCACTGGCTCTGTGGCCTTGGGCAGATCATTTTGTCTTTCTGAGTTTTACTTTGCTCATAAAACAATGGGGATAATAATGAGATTTCAGCCAAAGGGCTTTGAACAGCATGTGATATGTAGAACATACTCGATAAACCCTAAATTATCTTTCCTTACTTCTTTTTCTTCCAGTCCTCCCTCCCTCCGTCCACTTTTCTTCCTTCTTTCCTTCTTTCCTTTTCTCCTTCTTATATCTCTTATGTCTGGCCCCATGAAACCCTTTGTTTGGAGTTGGGGACCTAATCTCCCCATACTAATTTGCAAGTCTTAGACCCTATGAACTGGCATTTGATTCCAGATCCAGAAACCAAAATGCAAGATCCAGACTAACCCAATGCGATGGGTGGCCACTGAGATCTCACCGAGGCCCTGGGAAAGGAGCACTTTCTGGTTGGCTTGGAGGGAAGTGTGTGATGATAAGCACAGGCTGGGGGAGGAATTGTGGCTGTGGCCCCCATATCTAGAAAGTTGAGAACAGAGGATATCAGGAAGTTTGGATAACTTTCTGGGGCTTTAAATCCTGGCACAGAGTAGGGACTCAATAACATTTGTTGAATGAGTGAATGACCCTGTTACTCACTAGTTGTGAAACTTTGGTCAGGTTTCTTAACCATAAAGGCCATGCTTTACTCATGAGCATAACAAGGATTATTGTTAAGAATAAATGATCTAATGTTTATCCAGGGGATGGCAAGTACTGCTACACAGGAAACGGTAAACAGTAGCTAACTAAGGAAAGAAGGCGAGAAGGAGAAAGAGATCAAGTAGGCCCAGAGCCCCAAAGGGAAGCAGATAGGGGTGCCCTCAGGCAGAGACTCTAGGGGAGGCTCAGGAAGCCAAGGCAGGTCCTTTGGGGCCAGTCTCTTCTGCTAGGTGTTGAGCTGAGCAAGCTATGAGAGACGTGAACTCAAGAGCCTTTTAAAAAAATGCTCCCCCTGGTAACCAGGCTAGAGTAGACAGAGGTAGCTTGCGTTTCTCTGTCTCATGTCTCTAAGGTTCTTGGAAGCTCTCTAATTTATCCTGGTAGGTCACATGTGACTTAGAAACGAGCTTAGGACTTTGCCATGAGGCGGGGTCTGGTAAGTAAATCTGGCAGGGGAAGGAGAGACGCAGTCCAGCTTTCCCAGATGCAGGTTGCACATGCTGTCTTTCCCTCGGGCTCTATGTTGGAGGCAATGAGTCCTGGTGCGTGTAGAAAGCCACATGTTGGGCACTGTGTGGACGGGCAGGCAGGGATACAGCCTCTTTATTCAGACCACTGAAAACTCAGCGACGAGGTTAAAAAGAGAACGAAGACTCACAAATACATGCATACACAATGCACACAGTAGAAATGAGCACAAAAGACCTGGCTTGAGTACAGAAATAGCTACAGAAGAGCTACGGGTATGTGTGTGTTGGGGGTGGGGAGCAATTGTGGACCTAGACGAGGGAGATAGCAGGGGTGTGGCTGGGGGGTCTACAGTAACCAAGCAATTTTTCTGGAGTCTGTGGACACCAAAGAGGCATTTGGAAGGAGGGTGATCTGGCTTGGAATTGAGGGATGGGGATGACAAACCTCAGATGGACCAGGATGTGTCCTGGAGAGTCAGCGTGGGAAGTCATGGGGTGAGTGTATTGCAGGTGTCCAGCTGGAGAAGCGTTCTTGAAAGTCATGAACATCTGTCCCAATTCAACAAATAACTCACATCAAGTTTGAATTCTGTGCAAGGCACTACAAGAAATGCACCCAGGACTAAGGCAATAGCTGGACTCAGGGATATCCACTCCTGAATGCTCTTGGAAGGAAGAGAGTTGAGACAAGTAGACTCGGTGGGTGAAGGTCAAGGTATAAAGACCGCACAGTTCAGGGAAGAAGCCCTCTTGGCTATGGGGATCTGGGAAGGCCTCCCAAAGAGAGTGGTACAGCCTGTGGGTCTTGAGGACTGGAAAGATTTCAACAGAAGGAGAAAGGGGCTGGGGAATACATTTATTTTGGTGGGAGCATGCTGAGAGAAGGCAAGGGAGTGGGGATGCATGAGGCCATGATGGGAAGCTGCTGGCAGCGCAGTCTGGTAGAAATAATGAGAGTAATAACAGCAACTAACACTACTGAGCCCTAAGTACCAGGAGGCACCAAGCAGGGATGTGTGTGGAGTGTGGTGCCAGCTTGTAGGAGGGCTTGAATGCCAGGAAAGGAGTTTGGGAGGACAAGTTAACAAGCGCAGAGGGGCTGGATCTGCCTGCTGAGGGAGTGCCGGCACAAGGGAAGGGACTGAAGACCCATGCTGAATATGCCCAAGGGAAGGGACTGAGGTCCCATGCTGAATATGCCCAAGGGAAGGGACTGAGGACCCATGCTGAATATGCCCAAGGGAAGGGACTGAGGTCCCATGCTGAATATGCCCAAGGGAAGGGACTGAAGATCCATGCTGAATATGCCCAAGGGAAGGGACTGAAGACCCATGCTGAATATGCCCAAGGGAAGGGACTGAGGTTCCATGCCGAATATGCCCAAGGGAAGGGACTGAAGACCCATGCTGAATATGCCCAAGGGAAGGGACTGAGGTCCCATGCCGAATATGCCCAAGGGAAGGGACTGAAGACCCATGCTGAATATGCCCAAGGGAAGGGACTGAAGACCCATGCTGAATATGCCCAAGGGAAGGGACTGAGGTCCCATGCTGAATATGCCCAAGGGAAGGGACTGAGGTCCCATGCTGAATATGCCCAAGGGAAGGGACTGAGGTCCCATGCTGAATATGCCCAAGGGAAGGGACTGAGGTCCCATGCTGAATATGCCCAAGGGAAGGGACTGAGGTCCCATGCTGAATATGCCCAAGGGAAGGGACTGAAGACCCATGCTGAATATGCCCAAGGGAAGGGACTAAAGTCCCATGCTGAATATGCCTGTAGCAACAGATAGTGAGTCCCAAGCTGTGCCCGAGAAAACAGAATCTATGGTTTGAAGTTCACCACCAGCATGACCAAGCTCTCCTAGGCCACTGTGGGCTCTTGCTTCCAGTCACACGTGACTCCACCTCTGGGCTGCCTCAGTTTCTTCTTCTCTGGATTCTTGGGGTTTCTTAGGATTGGAGGAGTTAGGATGGGGTCAGGGGAAGCTGCTCCCGGCCTTGAGGTGGTGGCGCCTCACAGTGCCGGGAGCCCGGTGTTCCTGGGTGGTAGACGTCTCCCCTCCCTAGGGGCAGCTCCAGATTGCTGGAGGCAGACATGGCTGACCGGCTAGGCCAGGAAGCACAATGGCGAGGTCCTCAGCCCCTGACCCCTGAATCTGACCTTCCCTCCAGCTGAAAGCCGAGCTGGAGGGAAGAGGCAGGGAGGGCCAGTGCCTAAAGTCGGCCCGAGCTGAGTTTATTAGCTGAGGGAGGGCTGGAGGCGGCTGCATTCCGACTCACAGACTGGAACATTTCTGTGATCCGCTGTAATGCACTGGGGGACACTGGGCACATTGCTGAAGTTTGACTCATAGGGACCGGGAGGGGGAAAGAGGGGGGTTGTGGAGGGAGAGGAATGGGAGGAAGAGAGGAAGAGGAGAGGAGGGAAGGAAATCCCTTGAGAAATTTCTTTAAAAAAAGAAAACTTTCAAATCCGCACCACCCCCACACCCTTTTTCTTTTAATAGGAACAAGCTGGACCCTTCCGTTCCCCTCAGCAGGCATGGTGTGTGTGGGGGGGTGCCCGTGGGGGAGGGCTGGGCACTGATTCAAATCAGATCCTGGAACTTTCCTGAGGCAAGTCGTGCTTCTGTGTGTGTGGGTGGTGGGGGGTACGTCTGCGATTCCGTGCATGGGGCATGGGACTCCACCCGTGTCCCACTGAGCCGCGCGTGGCTGCTTGCAGTGTGCGCGCCGGGTCCGCCCCGAAGCCCCGGTGTGTGCCGTGTGGATGGCTGTGCGCCGTGTAAACATGGATGCGAGCTCGTGTACGCCGTGTATGCGGGGTGCGTGCGCCCAGGTAGCCGGTTTCCGGGAACCGTGCGCGGCTCGGGCTCGGGGCCGCGGCCGGCGTTCCGGGTTCGGCGCTGCCTCCCGGGCCGCGCGCTGTCTGCGGCCCGCCCGTTCGCCGCGCGGTGCAGTGTCTGCCGGGTGGCGCGTCCCCGGGCCGCGAGCGCCTGCCCCTCCCTCCCCTCCCCCTTGGCCCGCTCTCAGACTCAGATAAAGCATTTCCTTCCATTGTCATCCTACCCGGCCGGCCGGGCTGCCAGGGCCCTCCCCCTCCCGGCCCCCTCCCTTCCTCTCGCCGTCTCACAGTCGCTCTGCAGCCTCCGGCGACTGGGGGGATGTGAGGCCGGCGCCCCAGCCCCCCGCCCGCCATGAGCCCCCCGCTCTGAGGGCCGCGGCCCCTGGATGCACAGCCCCAGCGCCGGTGAGTACTGGGCGGCCGCTCCCCGCCCCGCCCTGCGCGGCACCCAGCGCCGCCCGCCCCGGCTCGGCCTCCGGCCCCGGCCCCGGCTGCGGCTCCGGCTCGGGCTCCAGCGGCCCCGCGGGCCCAGCCAGCTGCGCCCCCGGCCCGCGCCCTGCCCGCCCGGCTCCTCCGCGCTCTGGCAGGCTCCGGGTCGGAGCTGGTTCCGGGGGCCAGAGGGCTCGGGCCTCCCGCGGGGCGCCTTCATCCGCCGCCCCGGGGCAGCGACAGGCCCGAGGGAGGGAGGTGGAGGCCCCGGCCGCCGGTGCGCGGGCCCCACATCCCATCACCCCCGTTCCCGGGGAGGACGAGCCCAGGGACCGGGGAGGGAGGGACGGCGCGGTGGCCCGGCGAGGGGGCGGTGCTCCGGGGCGGAAGGTTTGGAAGCGCGAGGGCAAAGGGCAGGACCCACTGAGTTGGGGCTGGGCTTTGTGGGGCTGGACATCAGCGCCCCCATCCCGCGGTGCCGGGCAGGGCCCTATTCAGATCCTTCGGCGGGGAAGGAGGTCCCTTGGAGGGATCTCTGGCTGGGAGGTTTCTCCGAGGATGGCCCCCCCCACACGTCCTTGCTCTCCCATCAGGGTAAAGAGACACCTGTGCCCCAGTGAGCTGTGGAGGGCAATGCTGGCAGAGGCGCGGGAAGAGGGGCGCCGCAGGCGTGTGAGGGGTGGGGGGGCAGGATGTGGACCCTGGGGTCTGTTGGTGTTGGGGAGTGTGAGAGCAGGCGGCAAATCTGGCGGATGGACTGGGTTCCCACGACCAGAGTTTGTAGGCCTGTGGGCTGGGAGAGAGCCCTCTGTGGCCTGCAGGCCACCAATGACCCCACCCCCATTGCTTCCCGCTGTGGCTGCCCGTTTGGATCTGACCTCCCCAGCCACGGCTGCTCCTCACTCTTCCTCCCCCGATGGCTGTCCCGCACACCCAAAGGCCTCCCCCTGCATCTGGACACTGGCTGTCTTGCTGCCAACACTCCCTGCCCACTCCCCTAGGCAACATCTGCCTGAGGCCCAGCTCTGCCTGCCACTTTCTAGGGTGAGAACGGGGCATCGGTCCTCAGCGGCCCTGCTGGGAGCTCAAGATGACTTCTCAGCCTGTTTGTTCCCTGGACTTGCATCTGGACCTGTGGGACCTTCCTCAAGACCCCTGTTCAGCCGCAGGGCTGAAGGAGACTGTGACTCAGTTCCCTGCCCTTTAATGGGGTGCTTTTGCGGCTCTTTCCTCCTCCCAGGACTCCATAGGCCGCTAGGCTGCTGCTATCCATGAGTTATTAAGTCATTTTCTTCTCCTCTGCAGTCACTTCTGAGTGAAACTAAGGCACAGAGTATCCCACTGAGTGGTACCCAGCCCAGTGAACCTAGACTGGAGCCAGGTCTTGGATGTATTGGGACTGGTCCCCTGCCTTTAGTCCCCTGATGTCCCTCCTTGCCCAGCAGGACTAGGTTGAGAGGCAAGCTCAGAGCTGCCTCCTGTGTTGCACCTGGAATGGTGTTCTCCAGAGGCCTCTGTGTCCCTTATTGGGTGGGTGTCTCTGTGGCCACCGGGTCTTATACTGGGTTTTGGGGCAGAGAAGTTTGCATGTCTAAGCTGTTCACTCCACTTTGACACTGAAGTTCAGTCTCCCATCAATAAAATGTGGAGAAGATTCAAGCACACTTCCCAGAGAAGAGCAGGAGAGGCTGGCTATGGAGAGGAGAGCCAAAGGCCAGTGCTATTATCCACCCTCCAGTTTGCTTAGGGATAGTGGACCTCAGCTTTAGTCCTTGGTAGCTTCTGGGCATGGAAGCTGGAACTTGGTCAATTCTGATGTAAAACGCTTGGGCAACTGAGAACGCATGTGTGAGGGGGTAGGGAGTGGGGACCCTCTGGTAGCTGTGGGCATGCTTGCCCAAGAACTTGGAAGACAGAAGCCTGTGGAACCCCACCTCCTGCTTGCCTTCTTTCTCCTGGCCTTTCATTAAGGGCCTGTAATTTTGAAGTTGGCAGGGGCCTGAGAGAAGATGGCCTAAAGCAAGGCCCAGGGTCACCCAGCGAGGGAGCAGCTGGCGGAGCAGGGCGAGAACCAGGCGGAGAACCCGGCCTTCTCAGTCTGCCAGTTCCCATTCTGCTGTCCCTCCCTCCACAGCTTGGCTCTCCCTGGCCTGCCCCTCAGTTAGACCTGGGGCTGGGGCCTCCAGTGGGGTGTGGGGTATTGCTGCAGGCAGGGCCCGAATAAGGCCTGGGGCTGGGGGGGGAGGGCATTTGTCCTCCTGGAGGCTCCCAGGACCCTGCGTTTGTGTTGGATTTGTTCACTAGATGGGGCACTTCCTCTGGGGCAGGAAGCTTTGATTTCCTGTGGTGGTGGTGAGGAGGGGTTGGTAAGGATTAGGAGTGGGGGGCTCAGCTCTGGGCCATCCCTGATGTTTGGAACCACAGAGGGGCAGAGTTTCTGCTTAAGGCTGCTTCTCCCAGTCCTGGGGAGGCAGGAAGGAGAGCCTTGGTGAGGAGGCCCAGGCTGAGGCTGGAGAAGGAGGCTGTGAGAGCAGTGAGCTGGGGGTGGGCAACCCAGCAGGAAGCCTGGTCAGCAGGTGACCCTGCCGGGTATTGTGTTTCCTTGTAATATTTCCCCCTGTTTCTGTGGTAACCTTCCCTGGAGGCCCCAGGCCTTAGGGCTACAGGAAGGTGCCCCCAGACAGCCCTTTCCTTAGAGGCTTGAGTATTAGGAGGAGTCCCTAATACTAGCCACCTCCCTAACCCTTCTGGCTCCCTAGGAGCAGGGCCTGGGAATCTAGGCGAGTGGCCTGAGTGAGGACGGACCTGGGGGCTGGGTGGAGGTCCTTTGGCATCTTCTGGGGGGAAGAGGGAGGGAAAAAGGGGGGCTGGACTTCAGGAAGGGCTCTGAGCAGCTTGAGGGGCTAGCCTAGCCTCTGTCTCCTCCCAGCCCATCTCCACTGCCCTCCTCCAGTCTCCCTCCCCCTACCAGGGAGAGGTGGATAGCCTGCTGCCTGGGGCAAGGGGCAGGGGTGGGGGTGGCAGAGGTGGGAGGGATGTTTTCATCAGTAGAGCATAGCTCCTTTGGTCCTGGACCAGTTCCCAGAGGCAAAATAAATTCAGGACAGTGTCTGTTTAGTGTGGGTCTGCATGAGATGTGTGTGAGCACACACTGGGTGTGCAGTGGGTATCTGCGTGTGTACCCCAGCTGTACCCCGTGTATGTTGATGTGGTGGCTCTGGGCAGTTTGTGTTCCGTGCGGTGGCTCTGTGTTGGGTGTTTTGGGAGTATGCACGCATATAAAACAGACGTGCATCATCTGTATGGTATGCACCTTTGCAGGTTATGGCCCCGTGTGGGGCATATGGAATACGTGGACATGTTTTTGGGGAGTATATACCTGTGCAGGAGTGGTTTTCCTTTTTTTTTGAGATGGAATTTCGTTCTTATTGCCCAGGCTCAAGTGCAGTGGCATGATCTCGGCTCACCTCAACCTCCGTCTCCCAGGTTCAAGCGATTCTCCTGCCTCAGCCTCCTGAGTAGCTGGGATTACAGGCATGTGCCACCATGCCTGGGTAATTTTGTATTTTTAGTAGAGATGGGGTTTCTCCATGTTGGTCAGGCTGGCCTTGGACTTCTGACCTCAGGGGATCCGCCTGCCTCGGCCTCCCAAAGTGCTGGGATTACAGGTGTGAGCTACTGCGCCTGGGCAGGAGTGGCTTTTTAATCGAAGTCCAGATGTCTGCTTATAAAACACCATTTCATTCGGGATTCTCAAATTCGGGTTCCTGGACCATTTGCTTCAGTCACCTGGGGAATGTGTTAAAAATAAAGATCCTGGGCCGGGCGAGGTGGCTCACACCTGTAATCCCAGCACTTTGGGAAGCCGAGGCGAGTGGACCACCTGAGGTCATGAGTTGGAGACCAAGCCTGGCCAACATGGTGAAACTCCGTCTCTACTAAAAATACAAAAAATTAGCTGGGCATGGTGGTGTGCTCCTGTAATCCCAGCTATTTGGGAGGCTGAGAGAGGAGAACTGCTTAAACGCAGGAGGCAAGGGTTACAGTGAGCTGAGATCACACCATTGCACTCCAGCCTGGGTAACAGAGCAAGACTCTGTCTTAAAAAAAAAAAAAAGATCCTGGCTGGACATGGTGGCTTTGGGAGACTGAAGTAGGCAGATCACTCGAGGTCAGGAGCCTGGCTAACAAGGTGAAACCCCATCTCTACTAAAAATACAGATTTATCCAGGTGGGGTGGCAGAGGCCTGTAGTCCCAGCTACTTGGGAGGCAGAGGCGGGAGAATCACTTGAGCCCAGGAGGTGGAGGTTGCAGTGAGCTGAGATCATGCAAGCCTGGGCGACAGAGTGAGACTCTGTCTCAAAATTAAAAAAATAATAAAGATCCTCAGGCCCATTCCAGATTGACTAGTCAGAATCTGAGAGGTGGGACCTGGGAATCCAGATTTTAACAGGTGCTTCAGGTGATTCTGGGGCAAAGCTGTATTTGAGGACCACTGCCTTGGGCCAACCTCTTCATTTTTTCTTTTGAGGAAACTGAGACCCACAGAAGATATGTGGTTTTTCTACGGTGACAGGGCCATTAAGAGGAAGGACCAAGAGAAAACTCAAGGCTTCTAAGACCTGTCCAGGGCTTAGTGCTCACCCATGCACCCATGTGTGTGTATGCCGATATCCACACTTTGTGATGACGTGGACCCAGTTGGGCTGGTGCTAATTGGGGCTGATCTTTCCCCTGGGGTCTTGGCTTTCCTATTTCCTGATCTGGTTCTTCCTGCTACATTCTGCTTTCTGCTTTTTGGAGAAACCCTGGAACCGCTGAGTGTCAACCCTAAAGGTCAATATTGGCAAGCAGGGAACCATGTTGCTGAGCCAGTCATTCAGCAGTTCGTCCATTCACTAGATGCCGGCTGAGCCTTACAGGCACTGGGTACAGATAGGCAGTGAACACACAGGCAAGTCACAACATCCGACCT